TGCCCACATATAAGCTTCTCTCTTACGCTAACCTCACCTTTAATTCTTCTCCAGCTGAAGGAGCAGAGGGAACGGGAGAGGCGGGCTAAGAAGGGCGGAGCCTCGGAAGAAGTGGGCGGGGAGTTTGATGACCTGGTTTCTGCGTTACGATCTGGTGAGGTCTTTGACAAGGACCTAAACAAATTCAAGAGAAACCGAAAGCGCTCCGTTAACCAGCTAGGGGAGAACGGCGGCCGGGAAAGGGCCGTCACCAAGGTGAACTATTAGACTGGAGAGAGGAATGTGGAACAGAACATTCAGCCATGTCTCCGGTCACAGCTGCTGTAAGTAACAGCTGGACGGGCATGGACGGCAACGCCGCCTAGAAGGATGCTGAACTCTCCTCTGATTGGTCTTGTGAAGCTAAATCCAGCCAGACCTCTGTGACTCATCGTGCTTCAGGTTCTCCATACGCATCACACCACGTCACTCCTCCTCGTTTAACCTTCACTGTACCTCCTTACTCTCCTTGGTGCTGAAATGTTCCTAAAGTTCCAGTTCCTGACTCTAAGACTCATGGGACGTTGGAATCAGACGCTACGTTGTACATAGAGACCAAGAGAAAAGACTGGAAAAGGGACAGTGAAAGCCTAAATTTAGTAAAAACGGAACCAATCCCAAACTTCCAAAGTCACTGGTTCCCTTTTTCCTGAGAGAAAATACTTCACAAAGACAGATGAGACGGACTTGGAGTCAACGAGAGAAGGTTGTTGCCTCAGAGCAGAGGATTCATCCCAACGAGCACCCAGCAGTCCCAGTAAACCATCCCAACTGTGAGCTTCCCACAAATCAAACGGAAACGACTCTGATCCGCCTGACAGGGTCCGGGTCGGGTAACACTCCTGATGAAACGTCAGCCGTGGATTCAGGCTCGACTCCTGGATGGTTTCAGGATGGCCGTGGCATCGAGCGGTGCCAAAGCAGCAAGAACACAAATGTACATGTACTAATACTAAGTGTACTGCAGTTAGGGGTGGGTATACATTTATACTTAGAGGCAGACAAGCAAATTGCAAAGATGTAGAAGTTTTTTGTGTTGGGATTTTGTACACGATGCATTCGCTGAGGATGTTGCGATTTCACGCTGCCGCTGAAGTGAATTTCTACACTTTTTCACACCTTCATGTCTTGTTTGCACTGTGGCTTTTCGGACTAACTCAAACGTACTTAAGCTGATGAAGGAACGCCGTAAAACCCGACTAAACTCATCATTCCGGTGTGCTCCGAGCTCTGCTGCACTCACTTCAGTTTTTATCTGACTTTATTTTTCTTTACCGTCACTTTCTGAGAAATCATTCAACCGCTTTCTTTTTTTTTTTTTGCCAAATCACACAATGTGATTGGTACGTTACAACTATTGATTATTTGACTTAATTTCGCTCATTCTGTTGTGGATTTAGTGAAAATATAACAGATTTCACTCAACAAGCCCAAACTTTTCTGCTTCTGCAGTTTTAGTTTAATTTGAGCAACTAGTTGCCAAAAAAAAAACTCCTGTCTGATCATTTCCTTGGTGTCAGACTTGTGTACAAAATGTAAAAGCGTCTTCAAAGCCTAGGCAGCAGGAAGGAAGGAAGCTGTTCATCTTTTGGCCAAATAAAAACCTACATTTTGCTGCCTTTGATTGTAAAAACTGGAGGCAGAATGAGTTGTGGCTTTGCAGGAAAAGAAACGTCTCCAGGTCAACGCTGCAGGACGAGGTTATAAATTAATGTCTAATTCTAAAATCTCAGTCGTGTTGGGGATTAACGAACCGTTTAAATCAGCAGAGCTGCAGGAGTTTAGGACTAGAGGTAAATCATGTTGGTGCTACTTGAATTTGGCTATGCATGGATGAGAAGGGAGGCAAAAAGGCCGTTTCCATAGTAACGGAGCTTTATGGTTTTATTTTACATCGATGAAGAAATGTTTCTGCAGCAATCGAGTAGAAAATCATTAAAATATGCCAAATCTCCATTACTGGGCATGGCAATCCCAGTTTTTGTCCCAAATTTCTAAACTATCTGGTGATTGTTTGTAAATGTTCACCTTTAAGTGCCTCTGATTATTTTTATTTATTTTTCTTTCCCACACCAACCATCCTTCTGTAATTCTGTGCTTGTTGTTTTCCACAAATCAGTGTTTGCTCACTTGGAGCTGGGGAACTAGCGCCCTCTTGTGGCCAAAGGGGATTTGCTTTATTTTCTAGGCCAAAATTATACAAATAAATAAATGTGCCCAAATTTCAAGAGTTTGACAGCATCAGACAGAGTTTCACACTTCTTCGTGACAGGTGTGTTATCATAAAGGATTGTTAGATTAGCCCTTAGCTTTATTTTAGCTGCTACACTGTGAGACGCCATCGTATTCGATAAAAACAGCCTGATGTGAAGTTGAAGCGATGCAGAGGATCCTAAACTCAGTTTTTAAAGAACAATTAAATGAACCTGTAAACCAAATTCAGTCACTTTAAAATAGAGACATTTCTCTTCTTAAACCAGCATCTTTATGTAGTTTTGAACTTGTTTTCTAACCTCTGCCCCTTTCAACTTTAAATCGGTCTCCAAATCAAGCATCAGCTGATCATTTCCAGCTCTTCGTTCAGAGCTTTAACATGTTGTAGAGCGGAGTGTTTACGGAGGGGTGTTTGCAAAAATGTCAGTATTAATACATGTTTGTGTCGTTCCATGTTTGGATGTTTTTTTGGCCATTGATTGGCTGTTTTGAAGTGTAAAGATGGAAATCAGAGGAAAGAAACTGGTAGCTTGTTCGATGCACTTTCATGATGGGACATTTCTTCTTTCAGCATCATTGGAGGGCTTGGCTCCCTCTGGTGGTGAGAAGGGTGCAACGAAACAGTGGTGCAAATGAAAGGGTGAGTGGAGGAGAAACAGCGATGGGCTAGGTGAGGTGGAGGATGCTGGCTGGACCGGAAACGCACCAGCAGCCGGTCTGACAGGCAGAGACAGGAATATGTGAGGGATGTGGAAACTAAAAGAGGACACTCTTACGGAGCAGGATGTTCAGGGTTTAAAGTAAGCGGGTTGCAGGTGGGTTCTGTCACCATCACGTTTCTGTCATTTCATGCACAAAGCATTGATCTGCATGGCTAAAGATGGTTTGGATGTGTTGTTCCTTTGCAAATAGAAGCACACCCGTCACACCACGGTTTGTACCGCCTGAGAAAAGTTGCACCCGTTCTTTAAGGTTGTATAATTGTGAGGAATCAGTATTTTCGTGGTTGGAAACACTAAATCCTCCACTAAAAATGTACAGTTGGAAACATTTTGTACACCTTTGTTGATGTTTGAGACGAGATAAAGATGAAAACATTGAGGAATGTTCCATTTTCCTGTAAATTGTACCTCTATTTATTTGCCTTATTTAGTTTGCTATATTTTGTATGTACACACAGCATTACAGCAAGATGTTATATTAAAGTATGAATCATTGAACTGTGGCCCGTGTATGATGGATAGTTCTGAGACGTGTATAAGAATGAACCTTTTTTCTTTGATTTTATTTTATTTTTTTGTACTTTTTCTCACCCTGTGACTTTTGTAGGGTTACAATAAACTGATGTCTCTGAGAAATGGCTGTTTTATTTTATATATTTATGTAGTTTGTGTTTTACCTCAAAGAAAACCACACAAAAGCCCCAAACATGGAAATGCTTGTTTTTACATGTAAAATGCAAGTTTCTAGTGAACATGTATCAGAATAATGCCATAAAAGTCTGAAAATAACACTCACAAAAATAGTAAAGTAAATGAAAACCATTAACTTAACTATAAAATAAAGTATAAATCAGTATTAAGCTACAGCATGAACTACTTTAGCAGGTTTTATCCCACATTAAACATGAGTGGTATTTTCTATCGTGGAATAAAATGACACGATTTTACTAAAATAGAAACTAGGGATGGGGTTCCAACGCGTTAATTATGAGTAATTAATTAGAAGAAAATTGCACGTTTAAAAAAAGTCACCCATTTAATCACAGCTTGTATTTTAAGCAAGGCGGAACCGTAGTCATTGCATGATTTCCTCGTAGACGAATTATCACTGACGCACACAACAATGTACGGTGCTCTGTTAGCGGCTACTAACACGGAATGAAAACGGAAAGAAATGGCCTTGCTTGGACTGAAGCAGCATTTAGGAAACTCGTCAGCCTCTTCTCTTAACTTGTAAACATAAATACAAACTTCCTGACAACTACGGATTCGTGTCGCGGACATTTTTCAGAGACCGCCTCTGCTGCTGCCGCCGGAAACTACAAAAGTGGAGGTAAGTTACTTTTATTAGCATTTTGTAAGATTTGTGCAGCGCTGAAGCTCTAGACAGAATATTTGCTCCAACAGAAGTTTATGAAAGTAGTCAGACCGACGAGAGGCACCTGCTGCTGCTGGGAAAATGCTCCGCGTCCTCACTACTCTGTAAACAACCTCAAACAACAGAAACAACCTCAAATCTTAATGATACTTTTCTAAATAATTCTGTCGGTTTATTATATGTTCCTGAGATGAGTGACTGTCTAAACGGCGCATGCGTTACTATCATTAAGCAGTGTGATGAAGGTGATGAGGAGTTAAAGTGAGAGTCAGTGCATGGGTGGAGACCAAGCCCCCACAATGCAGCTCAAAAATTGAAGCCAACCCAGAAGTACCAAAAATTGCAGTTCCACCCTCATCCACTAGGGGCTGGTGTCAGAAGCGAGCAAATCCTCATTGACTCCCATGTTAAAAATACCAATTTCACAGCAGAAATAAACATGTTTACAGCCTGGTACCAAAACATGTTTTTGGTTTAAATGATCTAGTTTACACTCATGACAACTCTGAGGGGGTGAATGTTTTTCTCACTCTTCTGTTTAAGTGTATTTAAAGCCTAAAATTCTGTATAATTAATGAGCATCAGACCCACGTGACCACAGAGCTAGCTCCGTGGAAAGGCCTCAGTAGAGCCTCGGTCTGGCCTGGAAACTGCTCCGGGATTTTGAGTCTCTGTGTTTGTGTATTCTTGTTTGGATATTTTTTGTGCAATTGTTGGACAAAATGACTGTGGCATTAATTGCACTAATAGAGCGTCCAAGGAGTCTCCACTTCATTTATTTCGGTAAGTAAAATAATATTTATGTATTTTAGGTCACTGCCGAGCTGAGCTTAGGTTTTAACATGTACTGTTTAACCATGAAATTTAAATGTAATAGGGTAAACCCCAGTGCATTTAACATAATGCTGCACTTTAGAAAATGGGTTGAAATATAACATGTTGGTGGGGCTGGGTTCCCACTATCGGCTTGTGGAGCTCTCGGGAGACCGATGTTTTCCTCCCGTTTCTCCCCTCCCCGCAGCTCGGCACGTCTCTGCTGCGCGGCTGCCGGCTTTCAGCAGCTTTCGGGAGACGTCTGTGTTCCACCCGGTTCTACCCGGCGGTCAGCCCGGCGTATCTCTGACTCAGAAGCTCTGGTGTTGTGCACAGTTAACTCCGGTTGTAGCTAGGTTGCTACCTCCGTTAGCTTAGCTCCCACCTCCGCGTTAGCTTTGGGTTAGCTTCAGGTTAGCTTGTAGCTAGTTCGACCGGGTGTCGTCAGTTGATCCCAGCCTTGCAGCCCCACCCTCAGCTCCTCCTCTCTTCCCTTTTGTGGAATTGTCTGGGCTTGACGGAACCTGTGACACGGTCAAAATGGCGGTGGTGGCCACCTCCCATTTGGCCTCAAAAACGTGTTATTGGAGCCTATGGAAATGAATTGTCCAGTTTATATGTCGATGGTGGAAACGGGCTTCATCCACACTTCCGGTTGGAAAAATGATGTGGAAAAAAGTGATTCTGTGAGTCTGCAGCCATCCCCTTCTTTATGTGACTGCGGGACTTCCCATGTAAGGATGGTCCACTCCGCTGTTCACCGCGCAGGCAATAATTCAATAATAATAGATCAATAATTCCTCCTCATGATCTTGTATTTACCCATCCTCCAGTCATCCAACTGGAACCAGTGAGTGTTCCTAATCATTCTCAGAATATGTCACACCTGCTCTGGCGTTAAAAGTTGGTATATTTAAGTCCTAGATCATATTTGTGCCTGTTCTACTGTCATTTTGAAGGATTTTTATCCATACACCTGTTTTTACTACATTATGAGGAATAGAAATGTTAATTAAAACACCCAAATATACAAACAAGTGAAACTGGAAAAATGAGAATCATGTTATTTCAGTAATTCTACTTGACAGAGAGACAATATAAAGGCTCAGGGAGTCTTTGCAGGTGTTTTATTTGCAATTATATATTTTAGAAGTCTCAATAATGTTTAGTCGGATTAAAGAAAAGGTGGTCAAAGGAAACAATGCAGGTTAGGAAGAACCAGGAAAAGAAACAAAGACAGACGGGACCCTAAACAGCAACTGTTAATCTTAGGTGTGTTCTTGCTGTGCCGTATCTCTAATTCCATGCTGTCGTTCTTTTTTAAAACACAGAAACAGATTTGTTTACCTGTTTTCCCGCTACGTTTCGTTTGCGGCTGCAAACTTCCTCAGGCTGACGCTGATGGTGGCGCGTCACTTCCTTCTCCGTTTATCCGCGGGCAGCAGAGGACGTTGTCGCCCTCTGCTGCCCGCTCTCCCCTCTCCGACGATGCAGTCCCATGCGTGGTCCAACGTGTAAACTCCGTCGTCCCTGTTCATGGTCCCACATCCACGTCTCCTTATCTCGATTGCTTCTTTTATCCATCTTTTGTATTTCTGTTGTTCGGTGTTTATGATCCTTGTGTTGTCCCAGTCCATTACATGGTTTTCTCTTGTGCAGTGATCTGCCCGCGGATAAACGGAGAAGGAAGTTACGCCACCATCAGCGTCAGCCTGAGGAAATTTGCAGCCGCAAATGAAAACGTAGCGGGAAAACGGGTAACAAAACTGTTCTGTGGTTTAAAAAAGAATTACAGCATGGAATTGGCAACTGTTAGCTGACAAAGCTTTGTTTCATATTGGCAGGTGAGCGGCCGAGCCAGCTGGAGTCCAGTGTGGTGCAGTCACGTAGTACGGTACAGACAACATCCCCTCATACAGTGTGTACGGAAAGTGTTAAGGCAATTTTTCCACTCTTATATTGCAGTCATTGATTAAAGGGGCATTATGGAAGTGTGACAGCCAAAACATGTATAGAAATAATAAATGTCTTCTTCATACGTTCTCCTGCAATGCCCTGGTCCTGTAGAATGAGCCCTGGCATTTTTACTGTGATTGCCTGTTTTTCTGTAAAATCACAGAAAAAGAGAGATGCTCGGGTCGAGCAGGCTGCTTCATGCGCGTTCACGCTCAGGCATCGCCCGTAGCGTTTGCTATCCGTAGCTTTAGCAGCAGAGAGAGAGGCAGTGCCACTTTGTCGCTGTTCCTAACGCCTAGTGACAAAGCTAGCTACATTTCTGAGGACCCTTAGCTACTTTCTGTAGAACTTTCTTCTAGATATTTCCTGCTAATTAGCAACAAAACAGCCATTTTAGCTCCGAACCGTTCTTTGGTTTGACGTTGTTTCAGCTGTCATCAACGATATAAAAGTTACAGATACAAAGGACGTCACTGGCGCTTTAGCTCACCCTGTAAGACGTCTGACTCTCATGCAGAAGACCTGGGTACGATTCTGGATGTGGTCATAGTTTATTTAGTTTCTATTTTACATTAATGGTATTTTTTTTTACAGTAAGATGTCATGCGTGCCAGTGAAGTAAGCAGGAAAGGCGAGGATCCAGACCGGGGAGGAAACAGGCAGACAGGTAGGACTTCTTTCTACTGATTAATTAGCACGCACGCTGGACCAAGAAACAATGAACCAACACAAGACACAGAACAGAAGGGGTTTAAATACAGGAGGACCGGGAGAAAAGGTGATTGGGAAAACAAGAGGCAGGTGGGAGTAATTAACGAGACACAAGGCTGAACCAAACAGGGAGACATGACAGGGTGTGACATAAGATGCCCAAATTTTTATTTGAGACTCGCCGAACGACATTGAATTCACAGATAAAAAAGATGTGGGTTCAACTTTCATTTTGGAACAATTTTTCAAGCAAGGGAAGGGAATGATCTGAGCATGCAGGAGGACTGACCCATCATAAACCTTTGTCGGCTGTGCTGAAGAGAAAGGTACAGAACCACATTATTTAATTAATTAGCTGCACGTTCTCCTGTCCTCTGTCCTCCGGGCCACACACACACACACACACACTCACACACACACACACACACACACACACACACACACACACACACACACACACAAGGAACTGTCTCAGCTGTTATTTTCGTTAAGGAGTGTGCACGTACAGCATGCGCGCCTCGTGCACGAGCCTCCTATTGAAGCTGCCATTATGCTTTTGGCCTGAGGGGGCAATCGCGAGCATAAAAATTCAGAACTCTGTAAACTCCCTTTAAATCAATTAAATTCATGTTCATCCTGAGTAACGTACACACAGCACCCCGTGTTGTCAGAAAAACACAGAAGTTTAGAAATTTCTGCATATTAAAAAAAAAGATAAACTAGAACATCACATGGTCCTCAGTAATCAGACCTTTTTCTCAGGATTTAGTAGAAGCAGCTTTCGAGCTAATACAGCCATGAGTCTTCTTGGTAAAGATGCAACACGTTTCCTACAGCTGGATCTGGGAATCTTCTGCCGTTCCTCAGGTTGGATGGTGAACGTTGGTGGACAGCCATTTTTAGGTCTCTCCAGAGATGCTCAGCTGGGTTTAAGTCGGGCTCTGGCTGGGCTAGAACAGTCACAGAGTTGCCGTGAAGCCACTCTTTTGTTATTTTAGCTGTGTGCTTAGGGCCGCCATGTTGGAAGGTAAACCTTTGGCCCAGTCTGAGGTCCTGAGCACTCTGGAGAAGGTTCTGGTCCAGGATATCCCTGTACTTGGCCAAAATCATCGTTCCCTCAATTGCAACCAGTCGTCCTGTCCCTGCAGCTGAAAAGCATTCCCACAGCATGATGCTGCTACCGCCATGCTTCACTGTGTGGACTGTGTTGGACAAGTGATGAGCAGTGCCTGGTCATCTCCACACACACCGCTTAGAATTAAGGCCAAAAGGTTCTATCTTGGTCTCATGAGACCAGAGAATCTTACTTCTCACCATCTCAGGGTGCTTCAGGTGTAGCTCAGTGTGGTCGTACGGCCTGCTCTAGGAAGGGTTCTGGACGTCCCAAACGTCTTCCATGATTATGGAGGCCACTGTGTTTATAACGGCAGGGGGTACGTTCCTTTGTAGGGCGCACTTTGGTTCTGCCTATTTTTACTGATGCGGCACAGGTGTTCAGAACAAGGACCAGGTGAGGAGGGCCTTGCTTCTTCGTTTGCCTGGATGGGGCTCTGTAAACATGTCAACATTCAGCAAGTTGCACCTTTTAACTCTGATGAATGTCAAATGAAAACAATGTGAATAATGATCATCCACTGCTGTGATGCTTAGGACCTATCAGAAGCCTCTTTGAAGCTTTGCAGCATATCTTCATAAATTAGCTCCCTTGGCAGGGGACCCGAGGTAGGATGTCAGTAGTCATGTGTTGTACCTTCTGTACCTTTATAGTTTCCATGGTGTACACAGCCTGTGCATTCAGTTTTGGGTTAAAGGATAAATAAAAGGCTGGCACCGGCCGTGTGATGATGACACGTCTACAGTACTACTACTATAGTGTCTACCCTACAGACACTCATCTATACAGGTGCTAGCAAGAAAAGTTGATTCAGGTGTCCCTCGCTGACGGCTCTTGCCTGAAAGAAAAGCCCGAGTCTAAATAGTCCCGAGTTACCAAAGCCATTTTAAACAATTCACCAGAGTGAGAGCTGGTGTAAAACATGGGCTTCATTGTTTTTCCTTTACCAGCTGGTGGGCCGGGCTGATTGTTGTCCCAGTCCAGCTCTGGGTGGCTGACTGAGCCTTTTAAGTGTTTTAATCCAGAAACTATGTGGATTAGATCATCCTGCTCCAGACTCTTCTTTCTACACGTTTCTGTCGCTGCAACAAACTCCTTTTGACATCAGTTTCTCATTTTTATAGACTGAATTCATCAGAGTTAATGATGCAAGTACAAATAAACGTTTTCATGGTGATTATTTTATTTAGACTGGAGATACATTCATCATTTCAGCAGCACTGATGCTGCTGTTTATTCTGTGTAGCGCCATCTAGTGGCCTACGCAGGAAGTGCTCAGGCTAAAAACGGGTCCAGTCACGTGATTCAACCTATAAATTATTCTGTAGCCAAATGTCAGTGAAATTCAAGAGGCACAGGTCAATGTGTGTTAACTGAAGAGCTTCCAAATCAGGAATCCTAAAATCCCAGAACGCGTTTCTCCTCCCAGGATAATAAATTAGTTACGTAGCCGAGAATACCGGGATTATCAAAAGTCTGACCGAACATTTATAAAGTTTTGTACAACAAACGTTTAGTGTGGAGAGAAAAATGCAGAATCAGGGCAAGTCAAACCATCCTGTGTGTGTGTGTGTGTGTGTGTGTGTGTGTGTGTGTGTGTGTGTGCGCGCGCGCGCGCGTATGTGCGTACGTGTGTGTTAGTTCTGCTAAATGTTGTCAGACGTGTCATCGGGTTTCTTGCGGCTCTAAAACTCAGTTTTCCAACGACGGGTGTCGGTTGAAGTCCTTCTTCCCGCCCGTCTTGCTGAGGAGCTTCACATCCGTGATGATGATGTCATGGCTCACAGCCTTGCACATGTCGTAGACGGTGAGCGCCGCCACAGAGGCGGCTGTCAGGGCCTCCATCTCCACCCCCGTCCTCCCGGTGGTGCGACAGGTTGCAGTGATGATGACGGCGCTCTGCTGTGAGTCGAGCTGAAAGGCGATGGAGGCGTGGTCTAAAGGAAGCGGGTGGCAGAGTGGGATGAGGGATGACGTCTGCTTTGACGCCATGATCCCAGCCAGCTGCGCCACGGTCAGAGCGTCGCCTTTAGCCAGCTGGATGTCCCGAAGCAAGCGGAAAGCAGTGGAGCCCAGGATGACGGTGGCGCAGGCTGTGGCTGTTCGACACGTGGGAGGTTTCCCCCCGATGTCCACCATGGTGGCTCGGCCCTGGGAGTCGACGTGACTCAGCTGGGTGTCAGAACTGGACCGAGTCTGATTGCTTCTCGACTCTCTGTTGATTTGACTGGAGTTGTGATTGTGAAACATCCTAACGCTGTTGGGTTTAGGGCTCATCGGTTTTGTGGAAAACACCAACGTTCCCGGGGTCCTTGGAGAGAGAGCGGTCCTGGCATCAGGACCAGAGGGTTGTGCGTACCTGAGAGAGCGTCCGTTTGTGCGCGTCATCAAACCTGCAGTGTGGCTGAAAGTTAGTCCACGACTAAACTCTGAGCAGCGAGGCGGAGCTACATCATAATGCCCTTTTTTGCTGATATGTGTTTTAACGCTAGAACTACTGGAGGTTTCAAACCAGCAACCCAGAGCTGAAGCTGGAAGGCACATGAACTCCTCTGTGTTTAGGACTCTTCTGCTGGCTGAACGTGACACACGAGGAGCTTCAGCTGGATGAAGAAACGAGTCTTTTTCATGCTGACGGGTCTCGGATGAAGCCCTCTGTGTGTTTTGTAGCTTTGGCTTAAACGCGTCTGCTGGAAAAATAAAAAACAAAGTTACACAAAAACACTTTCACACAAGAGGCAGCAGCAGATGTGAGACTTTGTACGTACAGCTGAGTCACCCACCGATGAGAATCATGGGTCTGTTCTTCATCTGGGAGATGCTGAACATGCCTGAAGAGGAGCAAAAGGAGAAAACCCGTTTAAATAAAAACAGGAACTTCTGTCGCGTCCAGTAAATGATGCTTTTGTCGGTTTTTACCTGCGTGTTGCTTCTTCTTCCGTCCCACAGCTGCTCCAATAATCTGCAGCAGCTCTTCGTCAGGAGCTCCAGAACGCAAAGCGTCTCTGAGGGACACTTCGGAGTTCCCAAACAAACACACCTGAAAGCCAAGAACAGGTCATGGATAGGGATGGGTACCTTTGACATTTGAATCGATTCGGTACTAATTCCCGGTAGCTAGGAATCGATACCGGTACTTAACGGTACCGATTTTAGATACTTTTGAGTGTTTTATTTTAATTCTCTTTTATAATTAAATATATATTTTTCTCAATTTATAACTATATTTGATAAATATCACGATAAATAACATACAACTGTTTGTATTTTAACATCGTCCTTGTAGTTTTATAAGCTGATAATTAAACTGAAGCAAACATCTTTACTGTGAACTAAATTTACTGTGTATCTTCATTCCTTTTGCCGTCCTTTTTCTTTGATTTTTCCTATTGGGAAGTTAGAATTTCCGAGGAGAAAGCGAACGCACCATTAGCTGATAACAATGGTGGCAATGGAAGCTAACATATCAAGCTACATTATCTTAAACAGTTTATTTAGCTGCTGGAGCAGATTAAAACGATGACGCCTCACACTTAGATCGTTGTCGCTGGTTTCATCATCACCCAATCACCCGTCGCATTTAGTAAAGTGAAGCCAAACTTTAGAGCGCGTTCATGTTCTTCTAGTTGGAAATTCGGAGTTCCGAGGAGAAAGCGAACGCACCATTAGCGGAACGGAAGCTAACAAATCAAGCTAACGTTATCTTAAACAGTTTATTTACCTACTGGAGCAGATTAAGATGAGGATGTCTCACTTAGATCGTTGTCGCTGGTTTCATCATCACCCAGTTACCCATCACATTTAGTGAAGTGGACCCAAGCTTTAGCGTGCGTTCTTTCTACCATGCTGCTCTGTTTACAACTCGCTCGCAGCGAGCGACGACATAACGCTCTTGCGCAGCTGTCTAGGCAAGTTCTCGTTATGAAGGACGGGTACCGAAACGAGGCGCCGTTTCAAATGATGTTAATCGGTGCTCGGTCGGTACTATGGAATTTGGTCGGTACCTTAAAAAGTACCGAATTCGGTACCCATCCTGTTTCTGTGTCGCCATCTTTGCTGGGAAACAAACAGCTTGGTCATAAAATAATAAAAAATGATCCCTAATTCTAAAATGATCTGTATCTAAAACTTGTTTGGTTTTCCTACTGAAGCAGCACGAGTGCACAAGTCAGTCTGAGCGCCTGAGAGCCACAGCAAACACAGAAAACCAGAAACGTCATTAGAAGCTCATACAGCAGAGCTGGAGTCCATCAGGGTCTACCTTCAGGTTTCCGTCTGCTGTGATTCGTAAACGGTTGCAGGAGCTGCAGAAGTTGTCGGACATGGAGGTGATGAAGCCCAGCTGGCCCGTGAATCCTGGGACTTTAAAGATCTGTTAGAGAACAGGAGGGTTTGTAAAAGTTCAACATCCCGTAGATGATTTAGGCTCTAAAGTCAGTTTGATCGGCTTCAGTTTGGCTGAAAGTCCCGTGAGGCGGCAGCGTTTCTTCTGGGAGTTCAGAAGTTAAAATCAACTCAATCTTTTTAAATAGCTTTTAATAAACATTGATGTGCTGCGATGTTTTGAAATGTTTTCTATAAAATGGCTTTAACCTGATCAGAGGCTGAAAGTTCACCTTGTTTTAGTTTATCTGAAGTGTGGACTATTTTTAGGATGATCAGTAATTTAACACTGGCCTTAGCGGTGTCTGCAGGTCCGGCTTGAAGCCGTTCCAGATCGGGCCACCGCTGCCTGATCCGGTCCAGCATCTCCTGGTAGCTCACCATCTTCTTAAAATTCCACTTGTTGCCTGTAAAGATGAGAAAAAGCAGCAGTTGTAGAAAATAATCAAGTAAAAATCTGTAAAAATTAAATAAAAAGAATCAGTGCTGGGGAAAAATTTCACACAGGCATTTCTGACGCTGCGATGTTGGAGTGTACAGAAAATTCCAACCGATTTTTTTGAATAGCACGACGATACGCTGCACTCTAGTCGGGGCAAATTACATCTTTTGGGTCAAATCAGAGTTTTATTGCAACAAATGGTTGTTGGATGCATCAAACAGCCAATGAGTTGTGATTGGTGGACTGCTGCGTGTCTGGTACTCGTGGTTTAAACGTGTGGATAAATCGCAGCAGGACCTGAGATACGTTTACGTACGTTTGGATTTTAATGCCCAAATTTAACATCATGGAGCTCTAAAAACGACTTCTTCTGCACAGACACGCTAACGCTTTACACCTGAGCAGAGAGGCGGCGTGGGGAGGGAGCACTCACCATCAAAGGGCATGTATTCAATGAAGCGCACCTCCAGAGGCTTCGTCTCCGTCAGAGCCACAAAATCCAGCAGCTCGTCCTCGTTGAGGCCTCTCATCACCACGCAGTTGATCTGCAGGAAGAAGCACGGGGTGGGGGGGTATTTCAGCTGCATGCTGGGGTGTGTTCCAGGTCAGAAAGTGGAGGTCTGTGTTTGGGCCGTAGAGGGTGTTCTTGTTTTTAAGGCCAGGCTCAAGACTCACCTGTTTAGTATAGCTTTTAAGTGATTTAGATCTATTTTAGCCTGTTTTTACCATCTTTTATATATTTTATCAGTGTTTTATTACTTACTCTTTTAATGAAATAACATATTTTCTTACATATTTATTTTAACTTGTAATAATTATTAGTTTTAACCAGTCTTAATACTTTGTTGTACAATATTTTATAGAATTAATTATATGTTTCTACTTGGTCATCTTTTATCACTGTTTTATTTATCAGCTGTTTATGTTTGTTTCTTAACTTATCTTAGTCTCATTAGTAAACTAGTGTTTCCTCTGTGGGGGCCGGCTGCCCCGGGGGCGGCCGGGGTGCTTCCCATGTCTACTCTTGCCAAGGCTATTGCTGCCAGTCTTGGTGCTCCCGGTGCCGTTGGCTCCTCCGATGGTGTTTTTGTCTTCTTTGCATCTACTACATCTGCACTCAGCCAGCTGCCCTTTCTCTATTACGTGTGTGTGTGCGTGTGTGTGTGTGTGTGTGTGGGAGTTTGCATCTTAGGATGGGATTGAGGGTGGGAGGAGGGAGAAACAAAGGGGATCTCTAATGTGAATCTGTGTGGGAGGGGTGGAAAACCGACTGCTGTCTGGTTGTTTTTAATATTGTAAAGCGCTTTGAGCTGCATTTGCATGAAAATAGGGATGCACCAATACTGGTATCGGTATCGGTGCAGACACTGATACGATACTGGTATCGGCGCAGATACCGATACTGGTATCGCATCGGTATCTGCACCGATACGATACTGGTATCGGTATCTGCACCGCATTGGTATCGGTTCCTGATATCGGTTAACTTTTACCGATACTGTATCGGTATCTGCACCGATACTGGTAGCGGTATCGGTGCAGATACCGATACGATACTGGTATTGGTGCAGATATTGATACCAGTATCGTATCGGTATCTGCACCGAAACCGAAGCTGGTATCGGTATCGGTGCAGATACCGATACGATACTGGTATCGGTAAAAGTTAACCTATACTAGGAACAAATACCAATGCGGTTGCTTGAAAATGGCTTCGCTGTAAATTGTCATTTCTGTTCACCTAATATTTTAGTTTTGTGATGATTTTTATTCTTATATTTTACTTTTTATCTACCTCACAGTCTTTTCCTGTTGAAAGCAGAGAAGAAAATAAAATCTGTATCCAAATCATTGCATTTTTTTGTGTGGTAGAAGTATCGGTATCGGTAATCGGTTTCAGCAAATATTCAGATCCAAGTATTGTATCGGTTTGGAAAACAGTGGTATCCCTACATGAAAAGCGCTTCATAAATAAATTTTGATTTGATGTGTGTTTAACCACTGGACAGAGGGACTTTGGTCTAACAGCAGCTGATGGATCCATCAGTAGACGACACACGGGGAGGAGCTCCGTCGAGCCTTCAGAGCTTTAGTTTACAAACCATGTCAATCTGAATAATGTTTCATTTACTTTTCCACTAATAATCAGTTATTCTGTTTTTATATGCGAGGAGAATCATGAAGCCATGAACCTTGACGGGGTTGTAGCCTAACTCGGCTGCTTTGTCGATGCCCTCCATGACTTTATGGAACCCTGGAAGAGAAGAAAACATGAAACAAACATTTAGACGACATATTTTTCATTCTAACAGTGAAAAAGCTGGACAAGCACCACCGTCTGCTTCGGCCCTGAAATCTACATTTTCTGTTCTGTTCATTCACCAAGTAGATGAAAGCAAACATCTGCATTTAATCCCTCAGCAGCAGTCCTGATGTTGTTTCCACGTGGAAAAGCCAAAACTCCACAAAGGCATTTGTAAACTCTCTCCTCTGCAGGACGAGACATTTAAACGTCAGCTAAAGTTCCTGCATGTTGGCTGAATTTGAAATAAGCCCATTGAAGGGTAAATCTTCTGAACTTTAAAGTTTTACAGAAACTAAAATGTTTTTATGAGCAATGGCGGTTTTAAACGGGGACCCACAGGGGCCTGGGCCCCTGTAGAACCGGCCCTGTTTATGAGCCCGCCCCGTCTCAGTCTGTCCATCTGTGCTTGTCCTCCAAGCCAACCACCTACTGCTCTGGCCGGCTGATGCCTCCATGTGTGCTCGGGGCTTACGGCCCCTCCTGTGGCCTGGAGAGGATGAGCAGTGATGGCAGAAATAAGCACAGAGTCTGGCTTTAGTCAGCGTCAGCTTTAAGACAAAGACGGATCTGAAGACTGAACGTTTTCATGAAGAGTCAAAAACAAACAGACATCTTCATGGACGTAATTTTCACTTTAGAAGTGGGGGGGGGGGATCTTTACAGCATGTTCTAATGGGAAACAGGCTTCAACACAAACGGTTGTTTTCTGCTTGGTCCTAGAGCTCAACCAGTGTCAATTTAATATAGCGTAACATTGTTTTTGGATGGTAAAAAGTGCAGGGGTCAAACCTTGACTTTGGAAAAAGTGGGGGGGGGGGGGGGGGGGGGACATGTCCCCCCTGCCCCCCCACCCAGAATTTCATCCATTGACATCTTATCACAAAGTATAACTGAGGTCTCATGTTGGTTATTTAGGCGTCATACCTTTTCGCCGGACGATAAACTCAAACTTTGCAGGAACCAGTGAGTCCAGGCTGATGTTGATCAGGTCCAGACCGGCGCCTTTCAGCTTGGGCAAAAGCCTGGATAAGTTGATGCCGTTGGTCGTGACTGCTAACGTTTTCAGGCCCTGCAGCTTTTTCAGCTCAGCTGCAGAAGAAAAACACCAGAATATGCACATGAACGCTTTATTCTAAAGCAAGACGCACGTTTCTGTCTGTGATGCACTTTAGAAAAAGCGTAAAACCAAAATGGCGGATGGCTAATTTAAGATTAAATGTCCCAGCAAACAGTTTTTACACATGAAAGCAGCTTTTAGTTAGCAAGAAACCGTGTGTGTGTGTGTGTGTGTGTGTGTGTGTGTGTGTGTGTGTGTGTGTGTGTGTGTGTGTGTGTGTGTGTGTGTGTGTGTGTGTGTGTGTGTGTGTGTGTGTGTGTGTGTGTGTGTGTGTGTGTGTGTGTGTGTGTGTGTGTTGGGGGAAAATAAAAAAAGCAAAAGATTTTTTTTTCGTCAAACTGAGAATTTAATTAAGACTGAGCCAAAAAAATGTTCCATAAAATGTATTTAAAGTGCAAGTCACCCCCAAATCAACTTTATTTTTTCTGATAAACTATATAAGTGCGTGTCTAGTCGTGCTGCAGACACGTGTCGTCAATAGGTTTGCACTTTAGTGCACTTTAGTTAAAATTTATTTTTCTGCCTAAAACTCAGTGTTGTGCCGTTGTCAGGTAAAAACTGCTCTGCATTTGAATTTAAATCGGCCATCGCTATTGGCTAAGAGGTACCCTAGAACGTTAGCTGGTACCATGTGATGTCACAATGTCGTGAGCCTGTGTGTGTGTGTATTTGCTAGTGGCTCCGCCCTCTCGGTCTGCTAGGCAACATTTGTTGCATTTTTCAAACAGGAAGTGGGAGTGGAGGAATACTCTGGTAGGGGGTGACTTGCTCTTTAAGTTTAGGATTTAGTCGCTTTGGCCACAAGGAGAAAGCAGAAAAAAAATCCTGGATGTGAAACACGATCATAACAACAATCTGAAAACTTTCAAGGCTTTAAAACTGTTTTCACAAAAGGAAAACTTCCCGTGTGTTCGCAGAACTGTTGGGTGTGGTTTAAATTACAAATAAGACGGTAAAATGTAAACCATACAACGATAATTCCTCGTTACAACGAACGGCTTCTTTTACTTCCAACACATTAGTTTTAATCTGAAGGAATGCAGAGAAAACGAGTTTTCTGCACGTTGGTTCTGGTCCAGTCAGCAGGTTTCCACGTGAGTCCCTGAATACAGAAACACTCTTTCATGCTTTTAATGAATCTGGAGATAACATCGTTTAATTTAGCATTTCCCAGCATTCGCTGTTATTTATAAAAGTGCAGCCTCAACATGTGGTGGCCACAGAATGGATCAAATATACTTGCAGCAGAAATATTTCAGGCCAGAGGAACCTAATTCTTCATTTTCTTACCGATGATATCCAGCACGTCCGCTCTGATGAGGGGCTCCCCTCCCGTGAGGCGGATTTTGTCCACGCCCTCCTGGACGAAGAGGCGAGCCAGGGTCAGAACCTCGGAGGTGGAAAGCAGCTGGTTCCGCGGCGTGAGCTTCACTCCCTCCTCCGGCATGCAGTACTGACCTTTAGACACGGAGAATCCAACATTCACGTATTAGATTAAATATATGCAGTCATTTTCTAAAAGTGGTTAAAAAGAAAGCTTCAGCTAAACATTTAAAGTTAACTACTGCCGCATTTTTCTGCTCATCTATAAAAGTCAAGCACTTGAGCATCAGTGGAAGATTTTATCAGCAATAAAAACATTATTTCTGAATCATTTCTGCAGTGAGCTGGATCGGGTTTGAGCATCGACTCACAGCGAAGGTTACATTTCTCAGTCAGAGATATTCGTAGGTAGTTGTGTCTGCGGCCGAAGCCGTCCCTCAGGAAGGCTGAAAACGGGAGGATGTTGTCGTTCAGCTTCTGGGGAAGAAAATCAGGATTTAACACAAAGTGGAACAAATAAGCTGTAACTATACATGTTATTTTAATAACTTTGATTTAGCTCTCTGTCAAAAGCTTTCACACTGCAGCACGTGGATGTTAAATCACCTTTGACCCCGTCTCCAGAACAAAAGGCCCACATGTTCAAACAGAACATATAAAGAAATCAAACCTTTATTCATGATCCGCTGATTTTATGCCAAATCTAAAATACTCAGTAATAACTCCAGTAACTAGTCCCGTTGCCTTTATCCAGGTTATTGACCTCTTCATTGAGTTGATCCAGACTTTATCACGCTGGGCTTCAACAAACACGTATTTCTATAGATTTATGTAACTTCATAAGTTTTACTGTCAAAGACAATTAAGAAACCGGAAGTAAAAGGGCACTGAGTTTAATTTACCTGAATGAGTCATTACCCAGAGTGCTGCTATGACCCAGAACATCTAAACCGTGTTTTACTCTAACGGCAGCTCTTTGGGATGACTGACCTGTTGTTTAAAGTCTAATTCCTAACGCGTTTAGCTGATTTAGCCTCCAAAAAGGCCCAAATCTACACAGATCTGCTGCGTTTTAATAACTTTAACTCTGTCTGAGGTTAGCTTAAAAACTCTGGGACTGAACCAGAGAAGCAGCGGGTTTAACGTCCGGGCTGGTGTTTAGTCGTCAGTCTTACCAGTTTGGTTTTCAGAGGCGAAGGAAAGTTGGGAGCAGAGAAAGTGGACTCTCGGACTTCAGCCTCGTTTTCTTCGTGCGTAGCACTAGAAAACGTCCGCTGGACGACGCCGTTCACGCAGCGGTCGAAGACTTTTCTGACATTTTTCAAACTGCCTCGTATCCCCGACAAGCGACAGGCTGCTCTAGTGGAGGCGGACATGGCTGGGAGCGTTTCTGGCAGCTCGGAGGTCCTCTAGGAGCGGACAGAGCTGCTTTCCGGAGGAAAACATGTCAGTTGACCCGAGCACGTGAACTGTCAGGGGCGGGGACACGTCAGCCAATCAGAACAACAGACACCAGCCCGGTGCATGCTGGGCAATGAAGTCGCGTAATTCCGGGCTTTCTCAGAATAAATCATTCTTAAATTAGACTATTTATTTGAGATAATTAACGTATTTAAATCAAATTTTGAGCTATTGAAATAAATAAAATGAAACTTTTGTTGTTTGAAAAATTCTATAAAGGTGAGCCCGGTGCAACTGAACATAAATCTTTCATTATTCTCTTTCTAAATGGCTTTAGTATTAAGTGAATTGTTTATACATTATAATTTAAAGTATAGTTGGATGCAAGAATAAAAACGACTTGATAAACCTGGAAGACTGGATGGACTTTTAGATTTACTTCCATTTTTATCCACCAGAGGGCGGTAAAATCCTAAAACCCGATTTTAGTTTTGCCTTTTGTGCCATAAGAAGAAGGTTGTTTTAATTCAGTTTAGTCCAAACAAAACTATACCAGTAAAATTAGCCTAAAATGCACAAAACGTTGCCTTCTGGTGGTGGTCGGAGGGACCGGTGGCGCCTGTACTCGTCAGCCTCGCCTCTGTCAGTGCGCCCCAGGGCAGCTGTGGCTACATCGTAGCTCATCACCATCAGTGTGTGAATGTGTGTGTGAATGGATGAATGATACACTGTAGTGTAAAGCGCTTTGGAGTCCTTACTCGTGAGAGGTGCTATACAAGTGCAGGGGCCTCATTTATCAAGCTTGCTTACGCATAAAACAGGGGCGGAAAACAGCGTAAGCAACTTTCCATGCAAACTTTGGGATTTATCAAAGAAAACCAAATAACTACCTTCTTACCCTTTAATAAAACTGCAGACTGTTTCTTATTCCTGATGATGTGCACTGTGTTTGAATCAAGTCAACTTGTTTGTTCTCAGTGCTGATCATCTGTTGTGGTTTTAGGACCCCTGCTGAGCTTGACCCAGCCAGGGCTGCCTGTTCCTGGAACATGTAGCTTTTGTAAATCAAATGCATTAACTAACAAACCACATCTATTTTTTTCTTCTTTTTTTTTTTGCCCACAAATATTTAGATTTAAATGAACTGTGGGATGAGATGAAGTGTCTGATCCTTTATTATATGTGCAAAAACTAAACCCCATCTGTAATTAATGCACTTGTGTTGTTAAAGGGGCATTATGGAAGTGTGACAGCCAAAACATGTATAGAAATAATAAATGTCTTCTTCATACATTCTCCTGCAATGCCCTGGTCCTGTAGAATGAGCCCTGGCATTTTTACTGTGATTGCCTGTTTTTCTGTAAAATCACAGAAAAAGAGAGATGCTCGGGTCGAGCAGGCTGCTTCATGCGCGTTCACGCTCAGGCATCGCCCGTAGCATTTGCTATCCGTAGCTTTAGCAGCAGAGAGAGAGGCAGTGCCACTTTGTCGCTGTTCCTAACGCCTAGTGACAAAGCTAGCTACATTTCTGAGGACCCTTAGCTACTTTCTGTAGAACTTTCTTCTAGATATTTCCTGCAAATTAGCAACAAAATAGCCATTTTCACTCCAAACCGTCCTTTGGTTTGACGTTGTTTCAGCTGTCATCAAGGATATAAATGTTACAGATACAAAAGACATCACTGGCGCTTTAGCTCACCTAGTGAGATGTCGGACTCTCATGCAGAAGACTTGGGTTTGATTCTGGATGTGAACATAGTTTATTTAGAGTTTCTTTTTTACATTAATGGTATATTTTTACAGTAAGATGCCCAAATTTTTATTTGAGACTCGCCGAACGGCATTGAATTCACAGATAAAAAAGATGTGGGTTCAACTTTCATTTTGGAACAATTTTTCAAGCAAGGGAAGGGAATGATCTGAGCATGCAGGAGGACTGACCCATCATAAACCTTTGTCGGCTGTGCTGAAGAGAAAGGTACAGAACCAAATTATTTAATTAATTAGCTGCGCGTTCTCCTGTCCTCTGTCCTCCGGGCCACAAGGAATGTGCACGTACAGCATGTGCGCCTCGTGCACGAGCCTACAATGAAGCTGCCGTTACACTTTTGGCCTGAGGGGGCAATCGCGAGCATGAAAATTCAAAAGTCTGTAAAGTCCCTTTAAAGCAGCTGCACATGTTAGAAAAGGCAGTTAAAGCAAACTGAAGGATGGGGAAAGAAAACTGCATAAAGAGATGATTGTCCGTTCTCATTGAAACAGTCCTGCTGCACGGAAGGCTTTTTCTGTAAATTATACCTCTAAATGAGACATTTTGTTATTAACTTTAGCCATAAGGTTAGGGTTAGCTTACATACGCTTAAGTAACAGTCTTGTTGAGTATTTCTGCTGTTGTTGGTGGGGTTACTGATGTTTACGGATCAGAAATCTGAACACATCACCTCGCAGCACCTTCTCAAAGCCCCCTGCCTCTCGGTGCCTCATTCACATTCGTGTTGCTTTTCACTGCTTTTCCTTTTAGCACCTGAAATGCAGCCAGCGCTGTCGCTGCGGCAGCTAGCGCTGTCGCTGCGGCAGCTGAGCAGAAAGCACTGCAATCCCAGCCAAGAGGCCTTTAAAACATGCTTTTCAGATCTCCTCTGCACTTCTTTTCTAACCTACAGCTGTGGGCGAGCTGAGGTGAAGATCACAGCTGCTAATGACGAACATCAGCAATCGCATTAACGATGCAGCTTTAACACAGTGAATTAATTCACGTGGCAGAGGTTTGCTACAACACAACGGGACAGCTGCACCAGTGTGTTTGTTAGAAATGAAAAATAACCTCACACCTTTTTATTATCAGTGCAAGTGTGTCAGGATCTGAATAAAATCACATTCAACCTGAATCTTTGTCTCGATGGAGTGAGTAATATTCCCTCAGAAAACTGTCAATCAAAGCGGGAATAATGAAGTACGTTTGCCTCTTTCAGTGCTCCACCTGCATGCACCCTTGTGTTCCTTTTATTATACCATCATCCTGCTGCCAACCTGCCACCAACGCTGCTGCAGAGCCATGCAAACAGATGAAAAGGGCTGCATGCCTGCTGATCCCCCCTCTGCGGTTGTACAGTCAGCAGTAATTATCCCATCATGACACAGCAATTAAACAGAGGTACTTAAAGCCAGAGGAGATGATAGAAGTGATTCCTTAAGCGAGAGGCCTGCATCCCTCTCCGGGTCTGCTTGGGAGTCGTCTACTATTGCAAAAGAGCCAGCATGAATTTGCATATGCCCTGCACCATGTGTCGTGCTGTTGCACATGATTTCTGGAGATGGTTTGCTGAGAACAGTGTAGCTAAAGGATTAAACAGCCTAACTTTGTGTTTTTCACTTTTACTCGTGTTTTCCTTCCCCGAGTTGCAGTAAAATAATACCTAATTCATGTAATACTGGTATAAAATAAGGCATCTTATAGAGTAAATGCTGAAAGTAACACAGCAGATGCAGTGCAATAGACTTGCCTCCAGTAAAATGTGTGCTTTCCACCTTGTGAATGTGTCCATATGGTGTCTTTTGGATGCTGGAGGACGTGTGCGTAAATACACCATTCTGCAGGAATTGTTCAGATAGCTGCATTAAAGACATTTGATTCGGAAACCCTTTTTATTGGATCGTTTGAAGCGAGGATGGGATACTTTCTAAAAGCTGGGGGGTTACTGTTGCCTCGGGTTGTTATTATTAGAGGCCAAACAAACCCTGGGGGGAAAAGTGAAGACGTTATTTCTGCCTTCGGTCAAATCTGGAATGTTATGGAAGGTTTACTGATCATAAACAGCTCATTTGTTGCAGCAGTTTGAGTTTTCCAAACTCAGGCTTGGATAACATTTTGTTCCTATCACTCTTTTATCAGTTTTATATTAAACAAATGTGTCATTTCAGTCATGTTTTAGACCATTTAAAGACCCCAGAAGGCAATGCGTGTGCAGAAATGCACAAATGAAAGTTGATTTAGTAACAAAACTGAACTGGACTGGTTTTGTGCTCCAGGACGCTAGTTGTTGCTGAGCAGAGCAGAAGAAACTACTTTCCTTTTCTTTGATTTATTGGTGAGTGGCAGCCAGCTTTAGATGCATCACTGCCACCTTCTGGTGGAGCACTCAATCATTCTGAATTTTCATGTTTTGATCCAAAATGTAAAAAGCATCCTGAAAAACCCGAACATTCATCCAATACTTCCTTCCTTCATCCCTAAAGACCTACTCCTCTGAAGTTTTACTTTATTATCTCGTGCTGATATTTAAATCCGTTAAAGAACAGACGTTCCACCATTTCTGATCACGTGAGCGCCCCGAGATGCTTTTATCCAAAGTGATTTCAAACATGCATGTTTTCACTCTGTGGCAGGAAGCCACATAGCCCAGTAGTGATGTCCAGCTCCCTTCCTCAGGTGTGTTTCAACACACCTGCGTTTAATCAGGCTTCTGCAGAGCTGGTGAATCAAATGTGTTGAATTAGGGAAACAACTAAAACAGGCTGGATGCCGACCCTCGAGGAAGGGAGTTGGGGATCAGATCACTGCTTTAGGTCCACACTTGAGGAGGAAAACTTGCAAACTCCACACAGAAAGGCAACTGCCTCCAACTGCTCTGCCTCTTTTAACTAATCCACCTTTCCCACCTCTCCCTCAGGGGTGCCTCCAGAAAATTTTGATAGGGGGGGCCAGATGGGGCCAAAGAAATTTTTGGGGTTGCGCACCAAATTGGTCCTTGTGGTAACTCTGGGAGAGTTTAGCCTGTGGCGATGTATTGCATTGCTCCTTTATTTGTTTTTATTTTTTTAATACACAGTTTGTATCCAAAACGTTTAACTTATATTTTATGAACACAAACATTTCAGAAAAATACATTTCAGTTATTTAAAATGTTATTCCAAGTTTAATTTAAAAATGTATTTTTTAGGTTAATTCGCCTGTTGTGTTCACAAAAATTATTGAGATAAAAACTTTTTTAAAATGGTGAGCAGCAGAAACATGTGTATTTTTTATTCTGATAATTTCTTTACTCATTAATTGTATAATTTTTTTTACAATTGAGTCTTTAT